GGGGGTGTATGGGGGTATATGGGGCGGGTATGAGGGTGTTGGTGAGGTTATTAGGGGTTTCCGACGACCCTTGACCGGTAGGTGCCGACAAGCCGACCGGTCGGCTGGTCGGCATCCAACCAGTCAAGGGGCGCCGACGGTCGGGGTATGCAACACTGCTGGGCGCTCTATTCAGGTGAAGACGCTAGTAGCAGAAACAAGAAACTTTGTCCTTTTATGGTGGCCGAAGTGGGACTTGAACCCACGCCCTTTCAGACAGGGAGCTCATATAGTCAAGTGGTTGTGAATTCCAGAGGGGTAGTAGAACCAGCGACCTGGATTTCTGCTACCGTCTTCCCCCGAACATAACGCACCCTGATTCTGAATGTATACAAGCCATCATTCCGGTTGGATGCAGTCATAATGAGGGTGCATTGTGTTCGGGGGAAGACAGTAGGTCGGAGAGTGACTGGCTTATTCCACAGTGTCGAGCTGCTTCATGTAAGGGACGCTAGGCGCGGTTCCCAGCCATAATTAAAAACATGTCTTTAAAAGGAAAAAAAAAAGGAAAAAAAAAAAAAAAGAAACACCCCTTTCTCACCTTAATGTATCTTTCCACGCTTCCACTTCCGGATTCTTGAAGCGAGAAGACAGGTCTTCCAAGTAAACACTCTGAAGACACCCAAAATAGCAAAACAGCAGAAGAACAAGTTAAGTATTGCAACCCCGGCCAATACCGGAATTGCTTACCAGTCGTCAGAAAATGCCAAAAAAATTGAAAAAATTACTACAGTTATTTAATTCACCTTTGGTTTAACTTAATTATTAATAACTCACCAGTACTCCTGATGGCGAACAGGGCAGGCCACAGGAAGGGCTACCGTCTTCACCCGAATAGAACGCCCGGTCATTCTAGCTGTATTTGGTGCAACTTTCAGTCCAGATATAGCTGTATTTGGTGCAACTTTCAGTCCAGTTGATCTTTCCATGTGCACGTACTTTTCACTAGCTCAACCTTCTCGTTGTCAAGTTCATGTATGATTGAAGTGTTCCGGTTCATGCGTAGTTGAGGGATGGGTGACCGACATTTGGCTGCTACTACCATGGGATGGGTGACCGACATTTGGCTGCTACTACGGGGTGATGATTTGATTAGGATTAGAAATCTCTTCTCTCTCTCTCTCTCTCTGTCTCTCTTTCTCTCTCCTAAGATACAGTGATAATGACCGGGCGTTCTATTCGAGTGAAGACGGTAGCCTCCTTGGGTTCAAAATCCGGCACAGGCACAGAAATATCCACCTGAGCAAGGCTGGGCATGACAAACACGTCTCTAGGGCTCCATAGCCTGTCAAGCACGTCTATAGGGCTCCATAGCCCGTCAAGCACGTCTATAGGGCTCCATAGCCCGTCAAGCACATCTATAGGGCTCCATAGCCCGTCAAGCACATCTATNCTCCATAGCCCGTCAAGCACATCTATAGGGCTCCATAGCCCGTCAAGCACATCTATAGGGCTCCATAGCCCGTCAAGCACGTCTATAGGGCTCCAAGGCCCGTCAAGCACATCTATAGGGCTCCATAGCCCGTCAAGCACGTCTATAGGGCTCCATAGCCCGTCAAGCACGTCTATAGGGCTCCATAGCCCGTCAAAATGCCCCTCAGCTTGACAAAACATGGTCTAAACCGTGTCTCCGATCAGAGACCTTTCTCTTGAGACGTATTTCCCTACCGAGTCTTGCCTTGGGAGAAGGCAGCACACCAAGGCGCCTTGCGGCACCGCAGCACACCAGCAAAACAACTTGCCTGTGTTTAAGTTAGCACACTGCCTTGCCTCCAGGGAGGAGGAACGCACTGCATTTGCACCCATTTCAGGTGACCTCCCTTTCACCCTTGTCTGTACACTTGCATCGTGTTTGTTCTTCCAATCCCCCCCCTCCCCCCCTCCCCCTCTCCCCACCCCTCTTCCCCTCTACTTTTCATTCTTTTCATGCTCACCAAGCCACCAATACCCCTGTAGTCAGCTTACAGCGAAAATAAGCTCTAACCGGAGAAAAGAAGAGGGGAGACGAAACGGATAGGAGGCTACGAAGACGAGAGCAGAAGGTAAAAGAAGAGGAAGAGAAGAGAAGAAGGGAAGAGCAGAAGAAGCAAAGAGGAGAAGAGAAGAAAGAAGAGGAGAAGAGAAAAGGGATGAGAAGAGAAGAGCGAAGAGAAGAGAAGAGAGAGGAGAGGAGAGGAGAAGAGAAAAGTGAAGAGAGGACAGGACAGGAGAGGACAGGACAGGAGAGGAGAGGAGAGGAGAGGAGAGAAGAGGAAGAGAGAAGAGAAGAGAAGAGGAGAGGATACAGGAAAGCAGAAGTGGAGAGTGATATACATAACAAATTCAAACCCAACAAGCAAAGGAGGACGCCGGGAAGAATTTGTCAGAGAGACAGATCAATAACAGGGGGCAAGGAAGGAGGTTGGAAAGACTGATTCTTCAGGAGCATGAGACGATACCTTCTCGCCACAGACAGTGAGCATTCCATGATCCGCAAGAAAGATGATATGAGTGTCGTCAAGAACGCCACGCTGCTCAAGCCCTTTCAGCAGCCGCCCGATCATCTCATCAATCCTTGTAATCTGAGCATTCGTCTGCGGTGCATCTGCTCCATACCTGTGCGCAGTCTCGTCTGGTTCTTCAAAATAGAGAGTCATGAATCGAGGGCGTTCGGGACCCTTCATATCGAAGTACGAAAGCACCGTGTCAACGCGCATCTCGAATGGCCGGGAAATGTCATAAAATTGACAGTATGTATTTCCACACTGCCATCCTTGCCTTGTCACGCCAGAACCAGGCCTGCAAGAAGGTGTATATTCGCAGTGTCAGCGAATTTGCACCATCAAGAAGGTGTACATTCCCAGTGTCAGCGAATTTGCACCGTCAACAAGAACATCTTTTATACCAATCCTGAACTCCCGACAAAGACACATGCAAAAAAAGAAAAAAAAAGAAAAGACACAATGACAATAGTCAGGTAATAACAGCTGCTGGTCCTTCCCAGCATCTGTTAAATGGGACCGATACAGAGAAGATTGACATGGTCCCTGCGCAAGGTTGACACGCACAAATAAAGAAATGGAGCAAATAAAAATAAAAAAGGCAAAAAAGGGTAGCACACCCAGCTTAGTTGGTCGACCATGCACAGGAGGTCGCGGGTTCAAACCCCCCTTGGTGTTCACCAGCTGATGTAACTTGGCTTGCCCACCCCCCGCCCCCCCAAGCGGGTCTTGGTAGGCGCCTGGGATTGCCCTCCCTTGCCCCTGCTGTCCCTCGCTGAGGATCAAGAGCCTAGGTACTAGTCCCTGCATAGAGTAAGAGTAGATAGGCAGCCCTTGTTTAGGATATGATAGCGTGAGTTATGTAGGTAGCTAGAGTGAGGTTAAAAATTTGCGAGAAGAATATAGGTCAGTTGACTCTTATATATATATTGTCACAGAACTATTGACTAAGAGCGTAAGCACGTGAAGTAGAAGAAGAAATAAGATGCGAAGAAAAGAAAAATGAAAGTATAGACAGGCAAAGAGACAGACAAACCAGAATGACACAAAGCAGTGTCCTCTTATTCTTTGTTTCACAGTATTATTATTTCTTTCAGTGTTTTACAAAAAAAAAAATTTACACTGAATCAAAGGATAAAAATAAAAAACAAAGACACATTGAAATTATTCAGTTTCTCAGTCTTCTTAACGCCTCCTCCACTATGCCTCTAATGTACAAGGCTCGCCACGTTGATGAAGTTGAGCGCGAGCTGCCCCCATCCCCGTATGCCATAACAACCCACTTGCACGCTATGGGAAAGAGGCAGAGTGAAGGAAGAGGTGTTAAACACAGGGAAGAGAGGAGCAGAAAAGGAAAACCGATAGGCAGAGGGTGACGCAAACATCTTCTTTCTTTCACTGCATTCTTTTTTCTTTCACAGTTTTGCAGTTTTGGTGAAGAGTCTACCACGTTCACTTTTCAGCACACCTGCAATTCCTTCTTCATTTTTCATCTTCCTTTTCACCCTTCGGACTTTTCTTTTGAGGGTGTTAGGGTGCAGGGTACAAACAAAGTAAGATGACACAAACTTATGTTCTTCTTTCACTGCATTCTTCACAGTTTTGCAGTTTTAGTGAAGGGTTCCCCACCTTTGCACATTCTTGTACACTCTTTTCAGCGCACCTGCACATTTTTGTCAGGGTGCAAGGTACGTCTAAGTAAGACCCACCCGACAGATAAGACAACTGTCATAAGGATGCGGGCGATGGTAGCAGCCCTCCCGCTGATCTACAGGACGAAAACTATTCAGGTAAGCAACTTCGTCACAGCAGGAGCCAGGGCGGCTAGCATTAACCATACCTCTGAAGCATGCACAACAAAGGGCATGCCGGTTGCAGGCCACTTAGCTTTATGGTTAGGTGTCTGCCGGCTAAGCCGTTGACAGTGTGTTCGAGTCTTGGATTCGTCACATGCTTACGCGCAGTAACCACCGTAGAAATAATACTACGGAATTGTGGCTGCAACAGTGGAGTGGAAGTGTGGTAGGGTACACCGGGTCGCGGGATCTCTGTCGTGGGATTCCGTGCTGGGGTGGGGTGAGGTATTCAGGTCTGAGTCCTGGGGCTTCACTTTCACCCCAGCCCACTTAGCCTTATGGTTAGGTGTCTGCCTGCTAAGACGTTGACAGTGTGTTCGAGTCTTGGATTCGTCACATGCTTACGTGCAGTAACCACCGTAGAAATAATACTACGGAAGTGTGGCTGCGACAGTGGAGTGGAAGTGTGGTTGGGTACACCGGATCGCGGGATCTTTGTCGTGGGATTCCGTGAGGGGGTGGGGTGAGGTATTCAGGTTTGAGTCCTGGGGCTTCACTTTCACCCCAGCCCACTTAGCCTTATGGTTAGGTGTCTGCCCGCTAAGCCGTTGACAGTGTGTTCGAGTCTTGGATGCGTCACATGACGATTGTGGGGCGTTCACCATCACAGTTAAGTGCATATTCGCTATAGCGCCTGCAGGCACAAATGGGACATACTGCATCTGGATGTAGAGGATGTTCACGATCCGGATACATGTGGCATCCCTGCCGACAGCAGGCCCGAAAAATTATACGGTTGTAGTGATGTCGACAAAGTTGATGCTTTCCACAACCAAGTGTAACCGTAACAGTGATCTCACAAAGAAGGAGGTCACAAGGTGTTAGTGCAGCATGTGGGGGAATGAAGACTAAAGCAGGCATGGTGACAGACATGGAGGTAGGCACGGAGACAGACATAGAAATGGGCATGGAGAGAGGTGTGGAGGCAGGCACAGAGACAGGTGCAGAGGCGGGGGCGGAGGTACACGTGGTACTCATAGAGTCAGTAATATGGAAGGAGACAGACACAGAAACAGGCACAGAGACAGGTACGGAGGCAGGCACAGAGATAGGCATAGAGGCGGGCATGGAAGTACACGAGGTACCCATAGGGTCAATGACCTGGAACAGTTGAAGGTTAGGGTAATTACGCACGAGACCATAGATGGCAGTAACAGTTTGCACCATAGCACCGCCATTCCATAATTCCCAAGAACCAGAGGCACGGACAAGGGCGGTGTAGTGGCCAGGAGCATGTAGAATATAGGCACAAACGTGCGAACAGTGGCCCGGTGTTAGGGAAACCTGGGGAGGGGCGCCCGCTTGTGGCTGAAGCCAAGGGCAACGGCGCCTGTCACTCGCCGCGCCCGCGTCCGAGGTCCTCAGCGACCAGCAGGGATCGAGTTTGAGGTTGGCTGTCACGCACCGTTAGCAAGTTCCTACAACAGTGAGTTTTAATAGTCAATTAGTGAACCAACTTGGTCACACAGCGATGAGTCAAGTCCATATAGCACCGAGTTTTAACTTAAACCGACAAATAGTGAACACGTCAGATTATACAGTATTGAATCAAGTTCCCACAACAACGAACTTTAACTTAAACAGTCAACTAGCGATCCCGCTAGATTACACATCAATGAGCCGAGTTCACACACCAATGGGTCTCAACAGTCAATTGGTAAATTAGCGTGTTTTCACCGCAGCGAGTTTCAACGGTCAATCTTTGATGAGCCACTCCATTTTATCTTCCTCTCTCTCTCTCTCTCTGTTCACTCTTTCTTCGTATCGCCCCTTTACTCACCCAGTCTGTTCTGTTTCGTTTCGTTTCCCCCCCCTTCGTTCCGCCAGTTGATTTAGCGAAGCTCGATGGGATGGTTGATCAGACCATCTACGTTGATGGGTGTCAGGTCATTTGCGAGAATGGGTGGCCTGATCATCATTGATAGTTGCTATTTGCTCTTTTCGCGGGGAAGGCTGGTCTAATCATCAATGACAATAGTTGTTTACTCACCTGTAGGGACGGCTGATCTGATCATCAGCAATAATGGTTGTTTGCTCACTAGTAGAAACGGCTGATCTGTTCGTCAGCAATCATGGCTGTTTGCTCACTAGTAGAAACGGCTGATCTGTTCATCAGCAATAATGGCTGTTTGCTCACTGGTAGAAACGGCTGATCTGTTCATCAGCAATAATGGCTG